CCTGACCTTGGTCCAACAAGAAGGTACACCTGGCTGTAACACCCCTTCGAAATTCCCGTCCCAGTGAATTGCAAGCTGGGGAAGAAGAAGGAGGAGGAGGAGATTGGATTCATACTCCGCCCTTCACTCGGAGTCTCAGAGCGCCTTACAAACTCCTTTCCCTTCCCCTCCCCACAACAGACACCCTGGGAGGTCGGTGGGGCTGAGAGGGCTCTCTCGAGGACTGCTCCTGAGAGAACAACTCTGAGAGAACTATGGCTTGCCCAAGGTCATCCAGCCAGGTGCAAGTGGAGGCATGGGGAATCAAACCCGGTTCTCCCAGATTAGACTCTGCGCTCTTAGCCACTACACCAAACTGGCTCTCCAATACACCAAGCTTACTTCTATGATAAGAAGAGGAGATCGGATTTATACCCCGCCCTTCACTCGGAGTCTCAGAGCGGCTTACAAACCCCTTTCCCTTCCCCTCCCCACAACAGACACCCTGGGAGGTCGGTGGGGCTGAGAGGGCTCTCTCGAGGACTGCTCCTGAGAGAACAACTCTGAGAGAACTATGGCTTGCCCAAGGTCATCCAGCCAGGTGCAAGTGGAGGCATGGGGAATCAAACCCGGTTCTCCCAGATTAGAGTCCGCGCACAACCACTACACCAAACTGGCTCTCAGCAGACAGATCTTTCCCAAAAGGATTGCCAAGTTCTCCTGAAGTGTTTGGTTTCCGGCACGTGAAAGACACTGTCGATGTTCTAACCACCACCACCCCTGGTATTGTAGATTTGTTTTCATTCTGGGTTGTAGGTTTTTTTTACGCACCATCGGCCCCTGTAATATGTGCTGGTTTATCAGCGCACAATTTGCATTGGACAATTAGCACATTTTATGGGAGAATTTCGGTGCCGAGAAAAGAACACCGAATCACAGGTTCCGTTTGCATGAGCGGAGAGCAGAGCTGTGGGACCCCAAAGCATCCCTCCTCCCTCTCTGTGTCTGGGCGTCCGGGGTGCAAATCCAAGAGCATCCGACTTTTCCGCTATGACAGCGGAAGGGTTCAGCCACGGCACCCCTCAAACTGGCCTGACAGAGAATCTAGAATTTTGCTTTGAGGCTGGCAAAGGTGGGCGGGGGGGGGAAACCCGCGCTGAGCCTTTCATCCCAACGCGCCGCAGCGTTTTGACGGGCCTTTCCACCCCCCACCAGCTCTCTTCACATCCCAGCTCTGCAATGCAGCGTTCTTAAATACCGACGGCTTCTCTGGCAGCTAACGCCAGCGATCAGGAACTGCTTCGGATGGCTGTCTTGGTTTCTTGGTTTGGTTTTTTTTTTTTTTTTTGCTTTACATTGACAAACCCAAAGGTAATTAATCTCATTCAAGGAAAGGCTAAGCACTCTTTGGGGAGAAAACAAATAGAAATGAGAGAGAGGGGAGAATATGTTTCTTGTAGGGGCCAACCACACTGTCTAGCAGGGTGCTAGAGACTAAAGCCTCCCCTGCCCGGTGCCCCTCTCACAGGCACACTGCCTCTAAACATGGAAGTTCCATTTAGGCCTCCTGGCAAAGCCCTGTGGACAGACACACACCCCCCTTCACGATTTTGTCAGCTGTCCTGTTAAAGTCACCCAAGTCAGTGACCCTCCCCAGGTGGCAGTCAGCTGAACAGATCCCTTCTCTGTCATAAGGAAGAATCCCTCCCTTTTGCCTAGCCTTCATCTACTGCCCCGTCAGCTTTATTAAAAGGTAAAGGTTCCCTTGCTCGAAAGCCAGTCAAATCCGACTCTAGGGTTGCGGTGCTCATCTCCATTTCAAAGCTGAAGAGCCCGCGCTGTCCGAAGACATTTCCGTGGTCATGTGGCCAGCATGACTAAACACCAAGGCGCACGGAACGCTGTTCCCTTCCCACCACAGTGGTACCTATTTATCTACTTGCAATTTCTTGCTTTCGAGCTGCTAGGTTGGCAGGAGCTGGAACTAGAGACGGGAGCTCACTCCGTCATGCGGCACACTCGGGTCTCGAACTGCTGAACTACCGACCTTCCACAGCCTGCAGTTCAGCGTCTTGACCACTTGAGCCACCGCAGCTCCACTCAGCTTTATTAGGTCATCCCAAATTCTAGAATAACGAGAGAGGGAGAGAGAGAGAGAGAAAAGTCTCTCTGTCCCCACTTTCTCTGCGCCGCCACGCCTCATTCTAGAGTCTTCTGCCAAGACGCTCCTTAGATGCCTCCTTCCGATGAAAAAAAGCCGAATGCTCCTTTAGCTTTTCCTCCCCGGGGAAGACGCACCCCAAGTAGTAAGAAGTTCCCAGGCTGGGGAGAAGGGCTTTTCAGGATCGGTTTCATTGAGCAGTGGTAAAAAGTCCGACGGGTCATCTGCCTTGAGTCTCTTTGAGACGGGCGGCCTATGAATTTTGCTAGGGGTCAGGCCCTGTAGCTACAGTGGGGTATCTTGGGGCCCGGCCCTCCAATTTACTGCCAAGGCCGCCCCTGTTTCCCATCCAGCCCAGCCCCTGTGATTTCCAATTTTTTAAATTTTATATGTGGTGCTCCCTTGGGGGCGTGCGCAGGGTGCCCCCCGACTTATTTAAAGCCTCCCCCCAATTAAAAAATTCTGGATACGAGCCTGCTAGGGGTTTGTTATTCAGAAATTGCTGGAACAAGCACACACGGACTAGCCTGCAAGCAGCAGTCCCCCCACCCCCACCAAGCAAGCCACATGCATTTGCACCCCCACACACACATTCACAGGCTGCTTTGCGCAAACTACACCAGTTTGGTGTCGTGGTTAAGTGCACGGACTGGCATGGACTCTAATCTGGGACCACCGGGTTTGATTCTCCACTCCTCCACTGGCACCTGCTGGATGACCTTGGGCAAGCCGTAGTTCTGATAAGAACTGTTCTTGAAAAAGAGCAGTTTGTGTCAGAGCTCTCTCAGCCCCGCCTACCTCACAGGGTGTCTGTTGGGAGGGGAAAGGAAAGGAGTTTGTGAGCCGCTCTGAGACTCCTTTGGGCTGTGAATGGCGGGGTATAAATCCAATCTCTTCTTCTTCTTCACTGGTTATGTTCCAGGCTACTCAAATTTCTGCTCGCCCCCCCAAAACCAAGTGAACAGGACGTATGTAGAAGCCACCAGCCGTCGAGGCCCCATTAAAGCCATCTCTCTGGCCAGTGTCCCTTCTGAGCTGAGCTAGTGTGAGCTAGCTCACAGTTTTTTTAGCCTCCGGCTCACACATTTTTGTCTCCGCCCGGGAAGGACGGCTCCGGAGCAAACTGATTTACGCAGCAGCCAAAGCGCTCGCTCACAACTTGAATGCCTGCGGCTCACAAAGCAGAACTGTTGCTCACAAGACTCCACAGCTTAGAGGGAGCATTGCCTCTGGCTATGAAAACTAAAGAGAAACTCGCCTTTGCCCTGAATGGCCAGAAGAGGAAACACTCATTTGCCCTTCTGATGCCGCCCGGACTGAGCTGCGGTCTCTTTGGGTGACGTAGACAGAAGGCCAGCCATTACGTTCAGATTCCTCTTCACAACTCGTGGCATGAACAGGCCGAGACGAGAATTGTTCTGTTGAGCTTTGCAGCTGCATAGACTCTCTGATTTGAAGCTGGCCGGCCACTGCGTGAGACAGAATGCTGCGCTAGACAGACCCCTGGTTATAAAAATAGCACATCGTAAGTGTGGGGACACTTCAGCTGTGCAGTCGTACAACAACCCAGTAGGGTAGGACTGCAGTCCTGTTTCCAAGCGGCAGACGGTAAATGCGGAAGTCTGCTTTATACTAGATGAAGGGAAGAGATGGGATTTATACCCTGCCCTTCGCTACCCGAAGGAGTCTCAGAGTGGCTTACAATCTCCTTTCCTGTCCCCTCCCCACAACAGACACCCTGTGAGGGAGGCGGGGCTGAGAGAGCTCTTGACAGAACTGCCCTTGAGAGAACAGCTCTGAGAGAACTTGTGACTGACCCAAGGTCATCCAGCAGCTGCATGTGGAGGAGTGGGGAATCAAACCCAGTTCTCCCAGATTAGAGTCCGCCACTCTTAACCACTACACCGGCCATTGTCTCTTGTACCAAGCGGTAGTTTTT